TCACATTAGAAAATGCTTGCGAGGAGTCCCCTGTGAGTAGAATTGTTACTGAACTAAGGCTGTGGATCTACATGTTAATATTATTTCAAGGAATAAAGAGTTTACGTTAAAAACTCATAAGCAGTGAAACATGACAGCTCTCACTAATTTCTCATATGGTGCTTTACTGTTTGTTAAATAACAAAGATTTTACTGGGCCATTTCTGTTATGAAGCTTGTTCTACGCTTAAGGGTCAAGAAACATGTACTGCAGGGTGCCTTCTGTGGAGGGTCTAAGCTGAATAAAACAGAAATAACACCATTATTGAGGCTTTGTTTACACCCAAGAGTTTAACTATGTCCATGTAGCTAAAGCAATATAACTGAATGAGCAAGTACGATGGTTGGCTAGTTAGAATGTGTTTATGGGAATGGAAATAAATTATAGTGCTATAAGCTGTATTTATAGCAATGTAACTGCAATAGGGTCGAATAGAGGAACTGCATTGCCAGAAGGAAAAATCACATCCCTCCCTGGAATAATCATGTTGTACTTCTATGTGGGGACCAGGCCTAAATTAATTCCAGTTGCATTTCTGAGTACTTAAATGAGAATGGTGCTTCAGTAAAGGCTTTCTTTGGCTCTGAGAGGATTTAACACTGAGAGGCGTTGAACATGTGCATCCTCACTGATGTCTGTGCTGTTTAAGGTGCTATAAGCTGTTGCAGCCTTCTGTTTCTGGCTCTGAAGCTCATTGAAGTCAGCAGGAAAATGCTTGGGTGGCTGCAGGACAGGAGCCCCCTAAGAGACCTTTGTTAGCCTGGTATATCTTGTTTTCTGACAAATCAGGTGCACAGTCAGTAGGAAGCAGTTTATCCTGAGTGCAGAAAAATGTGCCAAAGTGTGAGCCTATGTGACAATCACAGGGGCAAGCTGGGACACAAAACTAAATTTTCTTGTGTTCAGTAACTTTCTTTCCACTTTTTTCTTCCATAGCCTGCATGTAGCTAACATAGGATTACAACCCCAAGCAAAGCACCACCGCCTCGCTCTGGGGGCTTAAATAAACCATTTGTTTTCCCTGATTATGAGTTTAAATACATGTGAGAGGAATGGGCTATCTAAAAGACTGTTCACACAAGAGCTTTCTCTGGCATAATACTTCATTAATAATTCTCAGGGTACACTGATCTGGGACGCTGAAGAGAGATCCCAACATGTGCTGAAAATGTGAATTTAGATAGAAAGAAGACAATGAGACATTCCCTTTTTTTGTGTGGGAGGAGGGGTGCAGAACTAACAGTGTGAAGAGTTTCAGATGAAATACACACAGCATAATAAATTAATAGTTCTGCAGAGTAGAGGACTAAACTAAGTTTTTTCAGTTCCTAAACTGAGTCAGTAGTGTTTCTAATAAAAACTACTGGTTTATTTTAATTGGAAGTAAATATCCCACTTTCAGGCATTTTCTCCTTGAATCTTTGGTTCGCATCTTCTTTAAACCCTTTCCTCTGAAGTGACAGCTCATCAGGCTCATCAGATTCCGTTACTGTTTCCACCATACTACCATTTAATTTTGGTTTGGCAGACAGACTTTCTGTTAGTGCTTTTCAGATGGAGGTGACATCAGATTTTCATGGCAAATTTTTTCCTGTAAGGGGACTTTTTATTACTGGATCATAGAACCTTTCCTTTCTCCTCTCTGATAATAATAATCATCTTAGTAGTGTGACTACTACTGGATTCAGTGGGTGCTGGGTCAGACCCTGAATTTTCTTACAGTCATTACAGGATCTGATTTGAGACTATTTCTAACCTGCACCTTCATGAACCTTTTCATTTCACTTCCATCTCACAAGACCCACAGCATATTTTTTTCCTACTAGTTTCCACTTAACGTCGCCACAGCTGCTTCTGCCACAGATAACCACATGATGAAGAAGAAGGAAGAGAAACACACTTTCATAGGGTTTCTGTACATAGGCGCATAGAGTAATTATGTGGGGAGGTGACCTGTGCAGACTACCTGGTCCACCTCCTACTCAACTCAGAAGTTAACTCCAGTGTCAAGCCCAGATTCAAAGTTAGATTAGGTTGCTAAGAGCCTTACGCAGTTGAGTTTTGAGTATCTACACTGATGGAAATTCTGTAACTTCTTCAGCCCATGTTCTTGATCTCAATATGAAGAACTTTTTTATTTTTATACATACGTGGAATTTCCTTGCTTTGCTGCAGTTTTTAAATTGGATTAAGATGTTTTTTAAATTAGAATATGAAGGAAGTTCTAGAAAGATTTTTCTTGTTTCGGAGTAAAAGTCCATACTTGAAGATAATCCTATACAGCAGTAGACAAATAAACCCATACACAGCAATTCTGGAAGCAGCAGAGATGTGCAAGCAGCCAGTGTAAAAGAGTAAGATCAAAGTACCTCTTTTGGTAGTAGAAGGAAGAAGTAATGGCAAGAAATACAGTTTTGGTAAGAACAGGCCTTAGTTAACTTCCTGTGTGTTTTTTCGATGTTGCATAGTTGGTTTTTTTTTCACCACAGGGCAAAACTCTCTACACATAACTGCACTGATACACAGTACATCCTTATTTTGGAATATTTCCCTATTTAAAATAGTGATATTTTATACAGTGACAAATTAATTAGATTTAAATGCCCTAGTCTTTAGGGAAAATGCTCCAAGATGAGGAGATACAGATGTTGCCTATTCAAAATGTCTGAAAAATAATTAAAAGAGAAAAATCACAAAATGTTGAATTTACACAGTGATGGGATTTAATTCTGGCTTGACTGAGGCTATCAAGAGTCGTGTGGCTAAATCTGTTGTCAGCTGTAATAAACACTCTTTCTGCTTCAATTTATGTGAACATTCGCAGCTGTTGAATAAACAGGCATCTTTGCCTCATAGTCAAACAATACATAAAATGAATTATGCTAGAATAGATTATGTGCAAAAACAGGTGACAGAGCTGTGCAGTAATAGACTGACTTATAGAAGGCTCTACTTTTTCGCATTGATTGTTCCTCCAGTCATTGGATTGTGCAGGTGGAGCTCATTTAATGGAAGTCCTTGAGAGACACGAAGAAAAAAATCATGCATGGTTTTATTTTGTAAGTCTATATGGAAGTTGCTTTCATGTAATTTAGAAAGATTCACTGAATCAATTTTCAGCGATGAACAATACATACCAAAATTTACGAAGGCGGCTATGCCATCCTGCCTTTGTCCACTTAACTCACTACAACAAAGGCAGGATGGCTCAGTCCCCTTCGTAAATTTTGGTATGTATTGTTCATCCCTGAAAATTGATTCAATGGATCTTTCTGTCTGCTTAACTCACTACGGACATGAACACATGCCATGTATTATTTAAATGTGTTGACACATACAATTTATAGGATTTAGAAGTTGAAAGAACATGAATTATACAACAGAAAGCTTTCAGCATGCTGCAGTTGAATGTTTTTAATGCAAAATGAAGATACACATTAACCTTAAAAAAAATTAAAAGGAGTTGGTGGGTAGTCAGATAACTGAGCCCATTGTGCCCATTTGTCCTGCTCTCAGCGGTGAATTTAGAGGAGATCTCTCTGGGTGGTAGGGAAAGCACATGTGGGCTGAGCTGGAGGACCACGATGGTGTATTTGCATGATTGTTTTCTGATGAAATAGATTCAGGTAGTCCATGCAGTGAAGCTACCCTTTAGTGTGACTGTAGCTCTTTAAAATTAGATTTCAGCTCAGCTTGCAGAAGAGGTACAGGTGCTGAGGAATAGCAGCCTTGAGGAGAAGGACTTGGGGTTGTTGGTGGATGAGAAGCTTAACATGAGCCGGCAATGTGCACTGGCAGCCCAGAGAGCCAACCGCATCCTGGGCTGCATCAAGAGAAGCGTGGCCAGCAGGTCACAGGAGGTGACTCTGCCTCTCTACTCTGCGCTTGTGAGACCCCACCTGGAGTACTGTGTCCAGCTTTGGAGTCCTCAACACAGGAAGGACATGGATCTGCTGGAACAGGTCCAGCAGAGGGCCACGAAGATGGTCAGAGGGATGGAGCACCTTCCCTGTGAGGACAGGCTGAGAGAGCTGGGGTTGTTCAGCCTGGAGAAGGCTCCAGGGAGACCTTACAGCGGCCTTTCAGTGTCTGAAGGGAGCCTACAGGAGAGCTGGAGAGGGACTCTTTATCAGGAAGTGTAGTGACAGGACAAGGGGCAACGGTTTTGAACTGGAAGAGGGGAGATTTAGATTAGATACTAGAAAGAAATTCTTTACAGTGAGGGTGGTGAGGCACTGGAACAGGTTGCCCAGGGAAGTCGTGGATGCCCCATCTGTGGAGGTGTTCAAGGCCAGGCTGGATGGGGTTTGAGCAACCTGGTCTGGTGGGAGTTATCTCTGCCCATGGCAGGGGCGTTGGAACTAGATCATTAAGGTCCCTTCAAACCCAAACCATTCTATGATTCTATGATTCTAGGTATCAAATAGGTTTGTCACAACTGTTATAAATACAGGGGTTCGATGAGAGGAGGAGCCCCAGCAATCCAGAGCTTCTGCTGATAACCAGCAGGAACATACAGAAGTGCCACAGGCAGTGAGAAAGGCTTCCTACTGAGTCTTGAGTCAGAAACCAGGTGCAGGGAAAACTGGGCTTTTTTAGTTTTGTAGTGTTCAAAGAGCAGCTTTTTTTTTTTTTTTAAGCGTAAGTAAAGATATTGTGAAGTGTTACTCTAAAGTGAATATAATGCAGTCTTGATATTCTTTTTAAGAAGGTTGAAATCGGGATGTGCCAGTTTAGCAAAGTAAGCTTTCAAAATGGGCATGATGTTTTTTTCTTTGGTTTTTTGTTTTTTTTTTTGAGCTGAGCACTTCAAAAGCCATCAAAATAGCTGTTACCTTCTGTCCTGGAAACTGTCAGGAACCTATAAATAAACATAAAATAATACAGGAGCAGGAAAAAAGTGTTATGCCAGCAGTTAATGTTGTCGTTATTAATTCTGTTTTGTTTTTTCTTTTTACAGCGTATCCTATTCAGTGCATGTCTCTGAGGATTACCCAGGTACAGTGCACCATTCTTGTCCATGACACATGTATGCATGTTACCACAATTTGCTGTATTCAGATGAGAATCTCTGAAAGGGTGTTGATGTCTTCCAGGTGCATCCTTGTGCTAATCATTTTCCATTAGCTAGATTATTTTCACAATCATTTCTCCTTTTAAGGCAACATTTGTCAGCCGGGTCAGGGTGAGAAAACCTCGTTCACAAGTTTACAGAGACAGGAGCTGGTGGTGCTTTCTGTGTCCGGGGCCAGTGGTGATAGGAGTGTGAAAGCGCCCGATTCCTCTTTGCTGTGTGGTAGATAAAGCTTGATCTTTCAAGAGGCTGAGCAGTCTGGCGCGGGGCCAGCAAAGCACTTCTGCACTACGCCTTAATGAGACTACTCACGTTCTTCAATCTGAGCCTGTGGACTGCTCGTTGATGCTTCTCAGGGTCAGTTGGAGCCAAGGGTTTGTGTATGGCCATGTCTCCCGTAACGTCAGCTTGCAAAGCTGTTCCCAGCTGCTCACTCCTGCCTCCCTTTCACACTCTGAGCTGGGCTGGCAAAAGCACTGGTGTAACCAAGTGGCCAGTCTGGAGGAGGGGAATTATTCATATGAAAGTCAACCAGACAAGAGCTAAAGCAAGTTTTCAGCTAGCTTGTTTCCCCAATTTCCTTCACAAAGAGACCACGCAGATGCTTCAGGTGGCACAGAGGTTAGCAGAAGCAGGAGAGGGAAGGGAGGATGAGGGCAGACAGGATCTGTGCATGTAAAGGTACATGGTAATACTGTTGGATTGCATCACATTCTGGTTTTGGACCTGGGAGTACTTAATAGTGTAAGTACCATAAATGATATTAAACCCTCTGGCCTTTTTTGATCTTTATCCTTAACATCTTTGTAGTATTTCTAAAAGAAATATTTCTTGTTTCTGTTAGAATCTCTAAAGTCACACTTTGATCTTCTTCACTGATAAGCAGTAGACTGTTCAAAACACCAGAGTGTTTGAAGCAGATATAGAGGGAAATCAGCATCAGCAGTGATGCTAAATGCAATGGATTATTGTGAAAAAATACTAGCAACCTTTATGAGAGATATTTTTTATACCAGTAAAAACTGGAGGGAAAACTGCTACTAGTAATAATCTATTCAACACGTAGTAAGGGAAAACACTGAGATTCGTAAGATACATGATCATACCAGTAAAAAATTACTGATTACAGCATTGACCTGACAATGAACAGAGGACAAATAGTTGAAAAAAATTTGCATCATATTTTATTTACAGTTTGTTTCATTAAACATCAGTAATGGATTTTCTCATTTCAGAGATTATGAAAGCACAAAATTTATTTATTATGAAGGCACAAATCTTGATCTCTGGGAACCCCTAACTAAATGGCAAGCTGGAGCACTGAACCAGCAGTTACTCCCATGGCACATGAGATCTCATCTCCTGGCAAAATTCTGTCTGACAGACCTCAAACTTCCCTTATAGATGCTATTTGCAGCATGCCATGGTGGCCTACACGCCTGAGTGGCTTTGGTGGCTCTAAAGCGTAATGAATATTCTCTGCCATCACTCCCTGTATTTTAAAGCCAGACAGAATTTGAACATTTTACACTGTAGCTAACTTGGTGAGGGGGGCGTAAACCAGCTGCACATATTTACAGATCAAGGCTTTGGAAGAGCTGATTTCATTCATATCTCAAGCTTTTGCAGGATCTATGTTTGCTTTGTGATGAAGAGGTGTTTAGTGTGTTAGGAATTGTAATGACTCTTTGCCATTTTACAGCTTTGATCCTAAAAATACTCATTTTGACTTTGTGAGCCAGATTGTCTCCTCTCTTTGTCCCAAATCTCTAACAACATTACTCCTGACTGTGGCTCTCTTCTCTGGCATGTATTTGCAGGGGTGTTACAGGGACATGTCAGGGTACGATGGTGTCAAGTCTAGGGAGCTCTGTGCTGATCTCCTTCTCAACTGGAAGATGATTTTCAAGTATTGCTGCTAGTCGACAGAACTAGCAGGAGCAACTGAACTCTATATGCTCATCATTTCTCATAGGATAAATCTTTAGAGATCAGGGTTTAAGTCCATTAGTGCATAGCTATACCAAAGTTGTATCCTCTGGAGATTAAGAGTGTATAATGCACAGTGGATCAAATTTGGAAATCAGAGAGAAGGTTGAGTTGATCATCAGATAAAAAAACATCCAATAAATATATGAAAATAGAAGAGAATAAGTTACTATACAAATGATGTTCATTCAGCTGAAAGTCATACCACCACAAGTAAATTTTAGGTGCTATAAGAAGAGCTTTGTGTACTGCATATAGTCTAGCTCCCTGCATTGCTGTTATGTATGCAGTATCACTGCTTTGGCACTGATAACAGCATGTAGCTATTGCTGAATTGCTCCATAAAGCATCAAAAGATTACAAACAGCTGAGCATTAAATCATACCTATGGGAACCTTAATATGACATGACAACTTTTGATAATGGAAGGTGTTTGAAAGTTTCATAATTATGAGTGAAAGCTAAAAATATGCTCACAAAGGCACTCTGAAGAACTTAATAGTAATAGTGTTGAGACAGTAATGTCTCAAAGTTGTATATACAGTGCTGAAATTGTGAAAATATTACTGAAAATTTTAGAGGCAGGTAATAACATTTTCAGCAAAATATGTCTGTAACTGTTTTTTCATAACATTGACACAACTGGAAAAAAATAATGCTCCTAAGGAGCCGTTATAGAATATACCATCAATGAGCAGACTAAAGTCCCATTAATATGAGTGGATCATGACTCCTGTGAGAACCATTACAGCAGCAAGCATTTTGCTAATGAATATATGTTCAGGAGGATACGTGTCGGCTGCCATAAACTTGTAGAACTGCTGTAGTCTTTTATCCTAGTGATTTGTGGGTTACACACATGTTAAGAGAATCACCCTTTTCTTAGACCTTGTTAGACTGCAGCAAAGATGGAGAGAATGATTTTGGTAGCAAGTGGTTTGCTGCATCCCTCCCCCAGGTCCTCCACTTAAGAGGAGCGGTGCTGCTGGGTGTAGTGTGTTAGAAACTGGATGTTTAAGAATGGAAACTGTGGGAAAGTAATGGAAGATTGGCGAGGAGGACTGTAAATACACTCAAGTGACTCGCTTGTGGGGTGCTGGAAAGCATATGTATCACACTAATTGTTGCTTAGTTTTGTGTGCTCAACAAGTAGAACATCTGCACTTAGATAACATAGGCCTGGGATGGACTCAGGGGCACCTTATCAAACACGCCTGGGATTCCTGCCCTGCTGTTCGAGAGATCAAAGCACAGCAGAAACCTCTGCCTGCCTGAATCCTTGAAATACAGCCCCATATAGCAAGTGGGAGCTCCCTCGCTCCCTCACTCCCTTGCTAACGAGGACTCTCTTGCTAATAAGGACTCTCGCTCTGCAGTGCCTGCATCCGCTGCCTGCCTGCCTCTGCCTGGGTGCTGCTTCAGAGCTTCCCGGATCCATGGCGTATTGAGATTAAATTTGTTCTTTGCCATGGATTCATGGTTTTGTAGTTGTTCCTGAGTCCTGCTTGCATCGGCTCACACATAAACCAAAACCAGTGTCTTAATTCCAAGTTTCATTAGACTGATGGAAAGAAAGAAAAAACCCTTATGGCTGCCAAATAGAAAAGGAAAACAAAAACTTGGCAGTGAAAACCATATTATCCAGCTGCCAAAAAAGAATGACAATGGGCATAAAAATGTAATTAAAATCTATAAAATCTGTAATTGAGCAGGCCTTTTTTCCATATATGTATATCTTGGTAATTGTCTATTCTATACAGCACATACTGTTGTTTTTCTCACTTCCAGCTCGTTAGGCTCTGGAGCAGTAAGTTGCACTCCCAAACCTGTGAAAAAAATGGGCCTGTGTTGTAGATGCCCAGAGCCATCCAGCATAGTGAGAGTGACACTGAAATGATGACAGTGAGGTGGAGCATGCAACTAGAGGCAAGGCCAGGCTTCGTGTAGCGGGTGAGATACAGCTGTCCCGGAGGCATAGGTCACAGCCTGTCCTGCCAATCTCCGAACAGGCTGGAGAAGCTGGGCAGAGAAGAACCTAATGAGGTTCAACAAGGACAAATGTAGGGTCCTTCACCTGGGGAAGAAGAACCCCAGGCACCAATACAGGTTAGGGATGGATCTTCTGGGAAGCACTACTGAGGAAAAGGATCTGGGAGTCCTGGTGGATGGCAGGATCTCCATGAGCCACCAATGTGCCAAGAGGGCCAATGGAATCCTGGGTTGCATAGGAAAGAGTGTGGCCAGCAGGTCGAGGGAGGTCATTCTCCCTCTCTACTCTGCACTGGTGAGGCCACAACTGGAATACTGTGTCCAGTTCTGGGCTCCCCAGTTTAAGAGGGACAGGGAACTACTTGGAGAGAGTCCAGCGTAGGGCAACAAAGATGATTAAGGGATTGGAGCACCTCCCTTACGAGGAAGGGCTCAAGGAGCTGGGACTCTTTAGCCTGGACAAGTGAAGACTGAGGGGAGACCTTATTTATGTTTATAAGTATCTAAAGGGTGAGTTGAAGGATGTTGGAGCCGGATTCTTTTCAGTGGTTTCCAGCGGTAGGACAAGGGGCAACGGGCTCAAGCTGGAACATAGGAAGTTCCATTCAAATATGAGAAAAAGCTTTTTTACAGTGAGGGTGATGGAGCCCTGGAACAGGGGAGGTCCAGGGAGGTCGTGGAGTCCCCTTCTCTGGAGATCTTCAAGACCCGCCTGGATGCAGTCCTGAGTGATGTGCTCTGGGCAATCCTGCTTTAGCAGGGGAGTTGGACCAGATGATCTCTAGAGGTCCCTTCCAACTCTGACAATTCCGTGATTCTGTGGAAGTGGGAGAAGGAATGAATGCTGGCAGATGGCTGGAGGACCCCCGTTTTATTTGCATGATGCTGTGGCTCTAAAACTTATCTCCGTGCCAAGCGTGTGGCCGAGGCGAGGCAGAGTGAGCTGATGGAGGAGGCTGCTGCACCCTGCTGTCCTGCAGAGCTGGGGGCAAAGAGGTGTCAGCCTCCTGCAGCGAGTGCCTGCCGGCACTTACCGGCGCGTGGAGCCCAGCGCAGAGCGCTCGCACTGCCTGGTGGGACGTGGGACGGTGCCGGAGTGGGAGTAGGCGAAGGTGTGGGATAGCGTCAGACTGGGTTGATGTGTGTGAACGTGGCAGAGAGGCTGTTTCCCACGCTGGGAAAGCCCCAGGCGCCCGTCCGTGTGGGGTGGTGCAGCTGCTGGGTCAGCTCAGCCAGAAAGGGGCTGCAGCGCCCGGGCTCCGGATTGAGACTGGCCGCTGAGAACCCCTGTAATAGAAAGGGTAATATTACTGAATTTACTGCTCGGTTAACGTTAACGTCTTTAGCATTTCACTGTTGGAAGCACTGTGGAGAAAGGCTTTGAGATTGCAACAGTATGCGTAAAATCACACCCGAGTTCCCACACTTTGCTGGTGTGGGACCAGAGTCCTCGGAATGATGGTAGGTAGGTCTTTGTTTCAGTTACTTTATTTGGCCCTTTATCTGTGATCATCTTAATTGCCAGCCTTTCTCCTCTACAGCGTAAGTTTCAGTTCAGCTCGGATCAGTAGAAAACAAAATATTCTTACTTTCATAAGCAGTTCAGCACTTCATGCAAAATTAGTTTCTGCAGATAGTACATAAAAACTTGCTGGTCCTTGTTTGTTATTACAAAGCATTTGGTTGGGAAGCAAAAAAAGAAACCAAACCAAGGAAACAGCACACACTCTCCTCAACCTAAAACCTACATTTTGTAAGAAAATTTGGGATAGACTATCCATATTCATATTTGCACCTAGCATTTTTATTAAGTGGAAGGATTTTTTTTTTTTATTCCTGAATTAGGCACAAGAAAGATTATCCACTGATTAGAAGATACTTCAAACAGGCTTTATGTGACTAGGCAAAATGAGGCACAGGTGTTTTGCATAATGGGCTGTTAACACCCAGCTCTGAATGCAGCCTGCATTCTACACAGCACATCTATCTTGAGTTTTGATGTCAAGTGTAGCAAAAAAGCATGGAACAAGTCTTCATTTGGGAAGAAGTTGGCTCAAAACCCCATAAGCCTGGTGGGATGGTTCAGAGCAATGTCTGGTGTGAGTCACAAACGCCAAGACATCAGACTCCAGGGGTTTGCTTGTATAAAATTTGGGTCCAAATCTTCCATCCTTTTGGTATTTTTCTATTCATTAGCAACCTCAAGAGAAAAAAAAGTACTCCAGCAAAATGGTAGTGCTCTGGGAAGTGGTTCCTTATGGTACAAGGGTGAGATGGGCAAGGGGGGAAGAGGCTGGCAGAGCACAATTGGATTTCACCATCCCAAGTGTTTTTCTTTTGTAGATAACACTTACGTTTCCAGTTCTGATAATGATGAAGATGTGCTGGTTACAACAGAGCCAATTCCAGTAATTTTCCACCAAATCGCTACAGGTAATCTTATGTCCTGAGTGTTTTATCAAGTTCATACTTTGTGAGGAAAGACAAGATGTTGCCTGCACTTCAAGGGAGATATGTTAATGTGTGCAGCTATACAGTTTGCTGTTTTCTTACAGTCTTGCTATAGTAAATTGTCCTACATTTTAGAGTAGAAGAAATTGAAATATTTCTTCTGGGGATTACCATGATTGTGTAGGCAGAATGTATTTTATTCTTTTAATGTCTTGCAGTCTGTGCTAAAGCAATTCTTGTTGAATACAGTTAGAGGTGCTTAATACTTCCCAATTATAAGTTTTCATGCTCACTTGCTTAAAACTTCACTAAATCTTCACCATTGGGGATGAAACAGTCTATAACTACCATTGCCTCTGGTGAATTATTTCAGGAAATTTCAAACAAAATGGTTCAGCTGTTTCACTAAATTAGTATTTTTTTCCCAGTGATTTTGGGAACATCTCATTTGAAATTATTTCCATCCTTTCAAAAAGTATTTGATACATGAAAGGGCATGCTTTTCAGACATATGGGCACATTTATACAGTATATATCAAGATTTGTGCATACTCCATAGAGACTTTTTAGATTTTAGCAGCTAGATTTCCTGATGATTTCAGGCTGCAGGAGAAACTGCATAGAGCAGTCTTAAATCTGGCAGTTCTTCAGATAGGAGCACTTGACTTTGCAGTCTTTTTATTATTATTACAATGCTTTAGGGCTTTTTTTTTTTTTTTTTTTGCGTAACACAGAATCACTTTGAATTCCACTGAAAAACCAATATGGTCTTTCGTCTCTGATCTCATTTATACTGATGTAAATCAAGAATAATTTTACTCAAGTCAGTGCAGTGGCACCCAAAAAAACCTGGCCAGTATGGTCAGAAGTTTAAGATAAGCTTTACTTCCAAATACTTCTGTAATCTAAAAAGAAATAAAGACTGTCATCTGAAATAGAATAAAACCCCTATGTTTGGTATACAAGATCATCTGATTATATTTTGCTGAGGTGTTTTGATTTTTCTTTTTTTTATAAAGTACACAAAATTAGTGAATGACACTAAATTGTAAATCACAGATGGGAAAACCCAATCTACATAGACCAGCTGAGTTTCATTTCAAAATTAAAAAATATGAGTCTTCTGAGATGCAGGGGCTTCTTAATTTTAGACTGTTGCATTGTAAACTCTGTGATGCTTTTCTTATCTGTAACTTTTTGTTGTATTTATTTGCTCTACTACTGCAACTAAGTATTTGAAGTCTGTGTATGCAAAATTATTTCACATTTTCCATAGACTTTCCCTATTTTCCCTTTTCTTTTAAGAATTAAGAAAAACCAGTGATGTCAACTATTGCTTATCCATAAAATCAAAATTACAGAGGGAGAATGGAGAGGTATGTATTTCTCGTATCCATAATTTAAGAGAAGTTATTCTAAGAAGCAACATAAAATAATGAATATGTTTATGATAGATTTCCTGTCCAATGTGTGCTTACACAAACAATAGATGTTTACATGTTTTAGAAGATAACCGTAGTTCTCTGGGTTTCATACATGGAACAAACAGTGAATCACTTAACTGGGATAGGGGTATTTCCATCCTAGGAAATACGGTTTGGACATTTGTTTCATTTTTTCTTCAACAATGTTATAGACCCTGTCTACCCTAAAAATATAACTCTTTTAGAGAAGTTGATCGTGATACTGTTGCATTTTAACCTACTCTTGCACATAGGATCACATCCCGTTTGTTAGCTCACTGCGGCTCCATGTGGCCTACAGCAGTCCCACTGGAGGCTCTAGGCCTCTCCATGACTCTATTCACCATAAGCAGTGTCTGGAGTATTAAGGCCTTCCAGTCGTGGTTGTATTTGTGCTGTACCTCTGGCATGGGTCCCTGACCAGTCTCACTGAGACATTAACTCAATAAAAAAGTGACACTAATGTGAAGTTTAGAGGGCTTGACAGTGCTGTGGGCTCAAAGAAAGTACCAGATAGACTCCGGCTCCAAGCAAGAAATTGAGCGTTGCGTCAAGAATTCAGGTGTTTTTCTTTAAAAACTTCCTTTGGTAAGGGTAGTTGCTAATCTTGACAACTGCTTTTTAGCCTCAAATCTGTATTTGGCCCTGGAAAGGGGAGATAAGCATGCCCAGATATGCTAATGTCTATGGTTGGTGTTTTTGATGTACAAAGCTGCACTGGAAATACTTTGCTTCTACTGCCTCATCATTGAATTCAGTGCTTGGTAAACTTTAGAAAAATTCGAGTGCAGGAAGAATTTACCCATTTGATTAAAAGCCCGAGATATGTTTAGCTTTTATGAGACAGAGTTTGAGCTTTTATTTATTTTTTTTTAGATGAACAAGGTAATTAAATGTAAAAACCCTTTTTTATATTTACTGGGGAAAAAAAACCCTTCAAAAAAGTGCTTCTAACACTGACTGTTTCTGTTGGCTAGACTGTTAGAGGTTTGATTAGGACGGGATGGTCTTGTCACTGTTCTTGTATGAGAGTTTCATTTCTCTTTGGTTTGTGTTGAATTTTTGTTCAGTTGAGTTCTGTTTTAGCACAGACTTCCCCTTGAGCTAAGGTTATTATAAAACAAAGAAGACTAAAGGCACTTTGTTTCTTTTCAGTGAAGTAGAAGCAGAAATTATTTTTGTGCCTTGTTACAGAAAATTGCCATGAAATTAGCTGAAATAGAATTTTTGTTCTATGTATACATACAGTGAATAGAGCAGGAGTTTAGAGGCAAAGGTAAGGAAAGGGGATTAGAATGCCTGACCATAGAAATTGGTGATAAGGATATATTTGACATTCATGAATATATGGGATTTAGGAGTGACTTCTATTCTTTGATTCATACATCCGATTCCTATTCCATTTTGGCAGTTCTGTGCAGGACATAAATACAAAATAAGAAGCAAGTACATCATGTTCAGATTGAAGTGAAGAATTATGATTTTAACAGGTGTTCCTTACGGGCTCCTTATCAAAATAGGGCCTAGAAATAACACATGGATTGTGGGGAACAAGAATTAATATCTTCAAGCAATTACATAATTATAAGTAGAGGTTCCATTGGTAGGAAGCAGAATGTAACACTTCAGCTCATGCTGAGTTGCAGTCTGTACCAGGATCAGTTCTATTTACTTGAGTGCAATTATTCACAGAGCAGCCTATTTAGAGCAGGTTTTACTTGGGAATGCATATTACTTTCTAATCCATAATTTTCAAAGTCTCAGAACAGAGCTAGTTAGAAAATTAAGTTTGAACTTTTCTGGCAACAGGCTGGTGGTACTGTTAAAAATAATAATTAAGCAGTGAAGTGTCAGTTTTAAACAGAAAGGAATTTAAGAGATCCCATGCTTGGACTTTAATTATTTCCTTAATCTATTAGAATTGATTTACCAGAATAAAGTAAACTACAATTCTATTGGGTCACTGAAACGCCAAATTAATTAAATCCAGAACTTGTCTTGGTGGGTAAATTACGCTTTGTTTAGCAAAAACACAGTGAAGTATCCCTGCATAGTCTACTGAATTCCCCAGTTCTTTAAAATACCACACTGCATATGTAGCCAAAGTATCAGTTCTCCAACATATTTTGAGGTTTTTTAAGTTTTTTCTGATATTTCACTATTCTTGGAACAGGTCCTTAGTACTCTTCTGGAGAAATGATACTCAAAGATCTCCTGGTAAAGAGTTCTATGAGCTTATTTGTAAAAACATAATTCCTGTAGCTATAATTAGAACTATAACTGTAAGATAAGCATATTGCTTGTATCAATGTTAACTTTCCTTTTCCATTAAGGAGTCACGGCACAACAGCACAGTTGAAGAAGACTCTGAAGGAGATAATGACTCTGAGGAATTTTATTATGGAGGACAGGTAATGGAGGAAATTTTTGCACAAGCTTCAAGAAAATTAAATTTGAAAGCTTCTGTTGTTCATTCCATTATAAATTTATGATAATAATTTCTTATGTTCATTCAACATTGACTAGAATGCCATGTATATATATACAAATTATTTTATAGCAGAAATATTGAGTATGTTATACTGTATAATTATATCAAATTTAAAATAAGATTTGTTTGCTTACATTTGCAAAGCTGTAAGAATAGGAAAAGCAAGCGTGCTCTTCAGAACGTATGAATATAGAGGGCAGTTGCTTACTTCCAGGAAATAGATATTCATTTTTTAAAGCTTATCCCATTATTGATACAAATGGGAAGTCAAGCTGGATCCAAGTCTGTTTTCCTTCTGGAGGATTGCCATTTTGTAAAGTCAAAAGCATTGCAATTTAATGGTAAAAATGGTTATTACAAAACAATTTTGATCTAGGCAGTAGTCCATTCTTTTTCTGAGCTCTACAGTTAAATTCACCTTGAAAAATGCTGCATATTTTTAGATTAATGTACTGCTCTGTGTCTTTCCTTCTTGTTCCCTCAGCAGAATTAGTTATTATTGCATTCTCTTATGCATTGGGAAATAAAATCTCTTCATCTCTTTCCTTTTGCAATGTCAATAGAGCGCTTCAGGCTGCTAGTCTCTTTATTCAGATTCTTCTCATCTTTTTAGTCTAACTATTGCCCCAAAGGAATCATTCCTCACATTATTAGACCTGTTTACTTCGTTGAACGTTTTAATGAATGATGGTTGCCCTTTGTGAAAGCTGCCACATGGCCGGAGCTGCCCTTGCCCAGGGTACGCGGGGCCAGGCTGCCGGAGTAGGGTGCAGAGAGCCTGGGGTGCCGATGGGCAGGACATCACCCAACCTCTTCTCTCGCAGAGCCAACACAGTTGGGTTTGAACACATGTTGAGGTGCTTTGCTTAAAAAAAAAAAAACTAAACAAAACCACAAACAAACAAACAAAAAACCAAACCAAAACAAGTAAACCCCAAAACAATAGTGCACACCCCTAAAAAAGCCATTAAAAGTGATATTGCAACTGGAACTGAAAGAAGGTGTTTTCAGTGTCAGAAATAACTGACATGAGGGATTGACTCATGTTCATTCTAGAAATGACTGCAGGAATTGCCTCCCTTCAGCTGCCGACTCTTACGGCCCCACGGAGCACTGGGGAGGACCACGTACACATACTTCAGTGCAGAGACCGATGTCTCATTTCAATCTGCCTGAGAGGAAAAATATTTTGATTTTGCCCTGTAGTGATGAGTTGCGTGTGCTGGCTCCATTTCTCAACCCTGCAGAAAGGGTAGTAACCTCAAGGTGAAGGAAAAGGCAGCAAACAGCTAGAAGTGCTTATTTCTTGAACAAGCACTAATACGTTTGGTACAGGATGCTTGCCAGTGCCCAAATGCATGAACAAATATTAACGCTGCCTATGAGATATGAACACAAAGAGCAGCACATCCCTTTGCAAGGCATAAGAGAGCTGTGTAACAGGCAATACTGGTTAGAATGTGGTTGCCTTGTATTTGAAGTGGAAACTACATTGCGTTGAGATTCTTTTAAGGTAATACATTTAATTGAAGGAATTATAACTGGCAAAAGAAATGCAATTAGACCACCGATAAAAGTAAAATGTCCCATCTTTGTGAATGTCTCGAGTATAGAATATTCAAAAAACAAAATAAAAACAAACAAAAAGACATCATAGAAAGTATATTTAACAAGAGAGAAAAAAGGATATTTTTAATTTAAAATTTCGTAGTAAAAAAGACAAAATTCTAAAGAAGACCTGTAGAATTAAAGAAAATATCGGGGACTCGGGAAATAAAAAGGAAATAAAGTAACAAGCTAAATCCCTATTTTTTCAAGAGTCTTTTTTTCAAATAAAGTGATTGTAAGAGTTATTAAGTGAGCACCAGGTGTATTGGGAAGACAAAATTGTTGACTGTAGAAGTGGGAAACATGCAGGGTGAGCTACTTCATTTGAGACACGGGTGTGCTGTGCCCACAGAGAAAGGGGACAAAAATACTCAGAAATACAGTAACTAGAGGGACTAGATGCCAGACCAATTGTGTGTAAAGCAGTTGGTGAAGATGAAGGTCAGGGACAATTCTTAACATTTCTAAGTGGTTACAGCTGGAAAGACAAGAGAGCAGCTGATGATGAAACAAGGACCGTGGAAGATGGAAGTGGTATTTGATGGGCAGTGAAAACAAGATACGACCTTTTGGTCATAAAGTAAATGTTTGTATCCGCTTCCTAGGCACCTGCTTGTAATCCTCCCTAAGGATTTAATGGATAAATACTTTAAAGTAGCTAAGTGATTCAATAGCCTAAGTCCTATTGATTTTCAATGGGATTTAGGTTTGTAAATCACTTAATCTCCTCTAAAAATGCAACCTTTTGTCATTATGTGGGTCAAAATAATCTGAATCAAGTCTCAGATTAAAAACTGAGACTTTCTGAACAGAGACCCTTCAGACACAGCAAAGTTATCAGATTTTTTAGCTTTTATATTCACTTTCTCTGAGACTCTTTGTTAATTCTTGCTTTGAATCTCTATCTTCTACATTTGCAAATGAGAACAGGAGATTGAAACAGTAATACTACTGCCTTTGGCACTCTCTCCCTCTTTCCCTTGTGCTTCAGTTACAGGACATACTTGCAAATGCAGGTATACAAAACGCTGGCAGTCTCCTCTCATACATCTCTGTCTCTGTGGCACTAATTCAGGGCTGGAAAATACCATACTGTGGTCTTATAGATTGCCAAAACGCTGCTTTGTTTCCTTTTTGAGTTCATAACCTTTTACAATCAGAAAATAGATTGGAGAAAGCATTATGTTGAGCAGTTCAATGTTCTGCATACTGTTCCTGTTGGATTTTTCTACTATTGATACATAAAACTGATTTTAAAATGTGCTTTACAACTGACAAAGGTGGCAGGTGCACCACAGCTACAATTTGTGAAATGATTGCTGTGCTCTCTTTGGAAGCAGGACAGCAATTATTTATGCATCTTTAAAGAATTCATCTTTGAGTAATGAGCATGTAAAAAGGATTGGTTTTCTCCTTGCTGAAGTGAAAAAATAAAAATTATAGTAAAGATGTGCTACCCATGCTCTTCTACTTGGAAAATTGTTCTGCCATGCCTGCCCAAACAAAGGAGAGATGCTTGGCTTATATCCTTCTGGTCATGTATATCATTTATATCCCTAATAAACACATGCCGATGCTATGCTAATGAATTCTATGCCCAAGTCTAATAAAGTTATTCTTTGCTAATTTTCACATGTAAAAAATGACCAGCTGATTATTATTTGAATTCCATTGAAATTTATTTCATTAGATTGAAAAGTTCATCACCAGGTACCAGAGCTGAAAGAGTCACAGCACTGATCTCGTACAGATTTGGATGTACAAACAGAAGGAATGGCACTACATTTAGATATGGTTCCACAATAGCAAGAACTTTCTGCAGGAGTTTCTGTATAAGGAGAGATATATATGTGCATTTAAAGGGATAAATTACACTCTTGTGCTTTGCTCTCTGAATTTGTTAAATCCTACTCTAATTTCTGAATCTGTCCAAATCTAGGGAGTTCATGGACTTTTGTGGAATTACGGTCATTCTAATTGTTGTAAAGAAGTAGAATTAGGTTCACACAATCAGGAGCATAATGCTTAATGAGAAAGTAGTAATAGACTGTGAATAGATTGGTACAAGCAGTAAGGTCTTTGTAGAAGATAGGAGGATATTAATTATTTTGACTTCATGCAGTCCAACCAAACCAGCTCACAAGTTTTGCTTTGTAGTATAAGCACTAATGACCACCTCTATTTTTCATGTGGAGTTTGAAAAAAATGAGGGTGATGTGTCTCTTTACATGTCTCTTTACACCTTCTCTGGTAAAATGCTTCGAATGGGAAGGTGTTCTTTAATTTATTTTTTTTTCATCTGATAGCATTGCACTGGTGGATAGAATACAACCAATGTGTAGACTGAAAACATAGTACACATGCTGAGACACATGGTATATAGAATAGTTTCATGCTTCTCTTGCTGAGCCCAAGCCATTCTGTCTCTAATATATATGAGAGTGTGACAATAAGCAAGAGGGAACAAACCTTTCTCCTGTACAGGCTGGACCGGGATGATATGACTGGGGAGATCCAGTTCTTCTCAGTCTTAACAGTTTTGAAATGCACAAGTGTCCCAGAACAAACCCCAGGACAAGACCGGACAGACAAATGAGTCCTTCGCAGCTTCTCCTCCCACAAACAGGAGTGGGACCCTCAAAAAATTGCAATGCAAAGCAGTTTGCAAATCCCATTGCTTAGCAAAGCTAGACCAACTCAGTGCTTCAGGTTATCAACACAGTGTCCTTTCTGAGCATGGCATTAGGGAATCTTTACACAGCTTATTTTGCAGAGGGAACTTTGAAGACCCTGGGTAAGATGCCAATAATGAAATAAATAAGAATTCCTAGGATTATTTTTTTCCCTGTAGGTTAGCTATGATGGAGAACTTCACAAGCACCCACAGCTGGAGGCTGATTTGACAGCAGTGAGAGAGATCTATGGACCTAATGCAGTATCTCTCAGGTATGTCATTGACTTTTCCTTATTGCAGAACCTTTGATGTTTTGGAGATTGGGTTCCATGGAATAACAATGGACCTTACCTCACTGCCAAAGCACAAGTCCTTCTAGTGATTTCTGTTTTTTGTGTGGCAAAAGGAAGGAGCACTGCTAGCTACCAGTAATGCTGATCTTGGTTTTTTGGGGTTGAGTACTGATGCAACTGGCCGTGCTGACGAAAAGCCTTGGGATCCTGTTCTAAGGCATCATCGTCTTTTGCAGTTCAGTCTGCATTTGATCAGGCTGTTGTATTTTCTTGAAAATTGCTGTTCAGCATTACTCTAAAACCTTGTTAAACTTCTTTTCTGTCATATTCTCTCTTTTGCCCTGGAGGTGAACAAGAGTAATGTTAAGAGATTTAGTAAATATTTTCCCTAGGGAAAGATTGAAGGAATTGAATTTGTCTAGTCTGGAAAAAGATGAAGACATAATAGCAGTTCTTCAAAAAAGTTGTTTGTAGGTAGGAGTGATCAAATGTTAGCTATTGTCATCATGAGAGAGACAATAAGAAACTGGCTGTGTTAGCAACAAACAAAAATTTGATTAGATTTTATGAAAGCTTTTTCATTGTGGAAATCTGAAGTATTCTACAGAGGGAAGTGGTGGAACTCAGTCAGAGGTGGATTGCAAAGCGTAATTACACAAAAATTCTGTTGGGCATATATGAGCCTCATGATTCTGCCATAGAACATAGCTGTATGATATTTTTAATACACTTCAGGTCTTTTATAACTTCATTTTCCATCTATGCAATTTTAATAATTTCACAGAATTAACATGTAGGCAAGATGTAACAGACCTGTCAGTTGTATTACAAGGAAAATATCAAAGTTGTCATTCAAACCAAGTAATAAAATACAGAGAAGATAATAACCTTAGGCATACATATATTGCAAGTAATAATACCCATTAACCTCTAAATAATAAGCTCTGTTAGTTTAGTCTAAGAAGAGAAAGCATGTACACAACTATAGTGTACTATACTTTTTCAAATTAAGTGGAAATTTCATTACATTTTGAGGACCTAAGGAATTGAAATCCAAATAGTTGTATATGGGTTTAGGAAATGAATGAGAGAAATGTTTAGTTGCCAAACTGGTAACTATGAAATTGAGAACACCTTGATAATAGGCTCCCTCAAGCTCCTAAAATTGAAACATTATATGTAACCTTTCAAAAACTTTAATGCATCTAATTTATTAAATCAACTGTTTCATTGGAAGCATTGTGATCTTCTTGAACTCACTGTAGTAGAAATTAGCATCTGTGGCTCTGTTTTGAAATGGGGAAAACTTCAATGGTTCTTCCACTCTGTTGCAGTTGAAAATACTCATAAATTCTTGGAAATGACAAACATATTGTTAAGCATTCAATTACATCTCTCTCCTGCAGCTCCACTTCTCTGGGGAGAGAGAAGTCTATTGGACAGTGACAGCCACTAAGATTTGTATTTCCTAGACAGTTGACCCTCTTTTAGTAGTCACTTGCTGTCACAGCCAACTGTATATACAAATGTGAAACTCCTGTACCTGCATGCTTTTCACCAGTGCCATTTGAATTCTGGCCACCAAAGCTTTAAGAAAACCCTCTGGACTAACTGGTCCAAACTCTTCAGTATCTGTTTATATTGCTTATGCATTGATGGACAGGGGACCTCTCGGAGCTTCGAAATCAAGATGTGTTCAAGGCAGCGTATCATAAGCTGCAGGTGCTGGAAGAAAACATGATTTCTTCCCCCTCCTTTCCACTTGGGGAGGTAAAACCAGAGTCAGCATCATGTGTCTAAAACCCATTTTCTATGATGGCAAAGGAATGGGGGCAAAGGGATTTCACTAAGTATGGAAATTCCACAGTTACTACTTATTTTTATGCGATCCTTTCTTCTAGTAATATTTCTGTGATTCATTAGTTCAACTATGCTTCTGTTTAATATATAAAATTATGCTTATTGACAGCCTTTTGAATCTCAGTCATGTAACACCAGCTTGTGTTCATAAGTATTACTGGAGAGTTCATAGCAATCTGGTTTTTAGATCTTCTGTAAAATTAACAAAAATATCCGGGGCCACTGTGGTGTAGGACAGTGGCTAACCTATTCAGCAGGTGGAGAATTTCACTGTTTCAAAGCCAGGTCTTCAGTGAGCTGGTCAGCGAACACCCATACATTTACCTCTGGGTGAGCAGACCCTGGAGCAGCTGTCAAGGTGGCTGGGAAGCCTCAAGGTAATACAGCCTGGCCAGCCGTTGACCTGCCCTGTGTGCCATGTGTAGACACAGCTGATTGAGAGAGAGAGACTTTTGTTTTGCCCTTACCAGAGAGAACCATTGGGATGGCAAGGTTTGGTGGAAGGGATTCCCTCCACTGAACTTCACAAGAGGTCAAGACATTTCCAGTGTGAGCCAGGTCCTACCGTGGACACTTTGGTAGAAGACAGTTACATTCACAAAAATATTTTTATATTTCAAAATTACCTTACCGATTTATTTATGCACAACTGCTACTGTGCACTGGCTTAGTCTAGTTTATTAGAAAAGCATGGAAGTCACTGTGAGAACAATGATATAAATGCAGTGTAAAGAAAAAAATTTAGTGACTAGAATCTAGTCTGTGAAAAATGGGAGTGATTGCACTTTAACAGTATTGTCCACTCAAGTTATTTAAGTGACAGGAGAGCATTTTTTTACTTAGGTGTATGAATGCATATTTTCTAGCCTTGTTTTTCAGAAGTCTTCAAGTACTTTGAGGGAGGGCAATCAGAATGAGTCAGAAAATAAGAGGCAGAAAAGTCAGACTTTAAATGTAAGATTTCAGATGGTAATGAAACATCTATGAAAACAAGTTAAATCTAAACCTTGGGGATTCCAGCAGTACTACACATAACAGATAAAATTAGGTAGCTATTGCCTTGGGTGCATTACAGGGCAATCTTTATGTTTTGACAAACAAATGCTTGAATGTATGAAGCAATCCCACAGGTATAATATGCCACCCTCTAGGCTATGTTGTGTTTGTCTTCAGTAATTTTTCTCAAGCCTCTCCTTAGGTTACTGGCTGTTAACCTGAAATACATTTGAAAATTAACTAGGATTTTCTTTTGTCATAAATACAGGAGCAGCATGTGACCATTATTGTTTTCGTGATTTATTTGTGGTATACTCGAGGCAAAACTACATAGCAGGAATGGAGAGATAATTTGAGGGAATTAGTAGAAAAAAAGATTTAGCCTGTTTAAGCAGGATCCACTGAAAGTTCGTTCCAGTGCAGCAGATGGTCGCCCACTGGGGATATTGATCCAATCTATGTAAATGTGTGTTTTATAACTATTCTGATTTTACAGACAAGATTATCCTTTATAAAATCTTCCCTGTTGTAAGTACTCCTGGGCTGAGGAGTATCTAAAAGAGCTCTAATGTAATGTAATTCTTTCCTTTCAGGGAATATGGAGCCATTGATGATGTAGATATTGATCTGCATATTGATGTTAGCTTTCTTGATGTAAGTAATCTAATCACAGAACTACATAATGAACATTAATACCCATTTAATTCTGCTACACATCAGACTCTCTAGACAACCACTGAGACTTTCCTTTTTTGGAGACTTGATCTTCACAAGTGCATGTCACATTATTGGTTGCTACGCAGTGGAAAGGTTTCCTTTTCCTTTTATGATCACACTGTTAAAATGCTTTGTAGGCTTTTATTTACTGCATGTGTATTGCCTTTCAAACATGCTTTGTGATTCATAAATGTTTTAACTAATATAAATGAAATATATTTCTTTATTTGCTATCCTAGACATTAGTTAGGTGAAAGCACTTCAGAGAGTCCTGGAGGGAAGAAGACCTTGGCTGGAGCTCTCCTGTGTGCTTCTCAACATCTGCACCTGATTAGGGGGAGGCTTGAGTGGCAAAGGAGACGCAGGACAATGGTGCTGTCAACTGGCAGCATACCTTCTGTAACAGTTATGCAGTCGCTAACTCCACACTTTCTCACCTCATCTGTGCAGTAGTTTCCTGTCCTCTAGATAGAGAATAAAAATAAGTCCTTCTAGGGGCATCATTAGCTTCTGCACAGATATGTCATATTCTTAGGTCAGCGCAGCACATAAAATAGTTGTTCTTGAGCTTTCCTAAAATTTAAGAAAATCTGATATTATCATGAATTATTTTAATCAGTCTTAAGGCGCAAAAGTTTCCTTTGCCATGTGTTATAGAGTGAGTTTTCTATCTTTATTTGCTTCTTTGCCTCTCAACTTTGAAGCAGTATCTCGTGATAGGTGGGAAGGTATCTGCCTGCACTGTAGATGTAGTATTGCATATAAAGCTGTGCTCAGTTTAAATCAGCATACAACTGGAAGCAGCCTAACACTGCTCTTGGGGGCATCAGCAGGCAATGGTTAGTTCTAACTCTCAACTTTAAAGTTGGAGTAGGAATTCCACAACTGGGTAAATGGATGGATGGTGTTTATAGTAACCCTAAGGTAGATTGACAAAATGCAGCATTTCCTCATGATGGCTAATAGTGTCTCTTGTTTTCTTTTTTTCTTGAACTAGGAAGAGATTGCTGTGGCCTGGGATGTAATTCGCACAGAGCCTATAATAGTGCGATTGCACTGTTCACTTACACAGTACTTAAATGGTCCAGGTCAGTAACTTGTGTATTCTTCACGTGCTTTGTATGGTGTCTCGGTCCGAGCCATGTGCTAGGTGATATGTGCTCATTAACTGCCAAATCTTTGACCCTGCATGTGTTTACTGCTAAGAGCAGTCCTACTGGTTTGAAATTATTTTTACATATATTGGGACCTCTGGGGCCTCAAAAATGACGTGGGCATCTAATTTAAACTTTCATAGGTTGATTTCCTGGTATCCTTTGAAATGCAGCTGCTTCCCATAGGAACCAGGGTTAAGGAATAAAGATCTACAGTTTCTAATATGTGATTTCCTTATTTGAAAATCGGGGGTCATCTGCAAACATGAGATATTACTGATAAGGTATACGTACACAGACCTGTGCAGCACAGTAATAAGCCCTTTTTCACATACTTTTGAAGAATCAGGCAAGATAGTTATCTTTTCAACTTCTGATTCCTATACGACCGTGTGCACTCTGGGAATCTTTAGGTTTCAATGAGTTGTTAAGTGAGTAAATCTTCCTCATAACAGTAAAAATGGTCAAACCCCTGAAGAATCAACTGATTTTGAAAATTTGGAAATATTCATATGCAAGAGTCAATTTCAGATATATTTTTACAGTGGGAAGTCAGAAGTAAGTTGCATTTGGATCATAACTTCCCCAGCTTAGGAGGCTTCTAGTGAAAGCTGTCCATTCAGACTTGTATCTGTGGGAGAATTTTGCCTCTGGGAAATAAATAGATATTTCAAGCCATAATATGTTCAGCATAATCTGTCCCAATGAGCTATTTTTATAGGATAAGTTGCCTGCTGGTGCTAACTATAAGTTATACGCTGTTCATTCAAATAAGCATTTCATTAGGTCAATCTTTTTCTTTTTTTTTTCTCTTGCTTGACTTTGGTCTTTTTGTCTGTATTTTACTGCTTCAATCTTTTTTGTAGATATGCAGATCTTAAAATATGTATTCGCAGGTAGCAGTGTTAGTATTCAGAATATTTCTATCAAAATGTAATTTAAAAAATAAAAAAGTGCATCAAATAAGAGGAGGTGAAGCATGAAGACCAGTTTGCAGTAAGAAATGATCTAGTGAAATGAGAAGTAACAAGAAGCCATCTTCTGCACTGTTGACAAGGTTAAAATGGGAAGCTTAGTTCCCAGTCCTGCAGCTGACTGATTGCGGGAGTGCCTGAGTATCAAAAAAGGCAAAATCAGAGCCAGAGGCAAGTGCTTCACTTATACTGGTTTTATGAACTCAGCTGCTGTCAACCATATTTCTTTATTTACCAGAAAGGACAAAGATATCCACTATCTTTTGTGTTACCAGAAAGGACAAAGATATCCACTATCTTTTGTGTTAATAAGACCCTTTCACTCTGAATTCCTCTTCCTCCTTAAATATGTTGTTCTGAGACTACCGTGGCATAATTTTATGCTACCTCTTTTTCTCCTGTAGTACTTTCTGTTGATTGATAAACAGAAATGCAGTATTCTCCAAAGCATTATGGGGCTATTTGTACCAATATATAGCCATGTAATACCCTGATTTTAGGTGACAGTCATTCTTCTAGTTCATAGCTTCTTGCTTTATTGTACCTGTGGGAAGTTTCTCCCACGTGCCTCAGAAACCTGTCTTAGATGAGGATGAATCAGATTGTGGAGGTACCAGACTGTCTTCTCTGGCTGTACAGCTTAGACAGCAATTGTAACCTAGATGTCAGATTTTAAGATTGCTGGTATGATTTTAAGATTGCTAGGTATGATGATTCTTGTTGAAAATATTACCCCCCAACCATGTCTCCTAAATTTGACAATCTAACGACATCGCTACCCCTAATCAAATCATTCATCCCTTTTGAAAAAAATCATCAGTCTGTTTTTAAAAGATGAGGTTATATTTGAAAAATAACCTTAGAGAAAAGGTATCTACAGGGCTTTGAACTAAGTGAAATTGAATAGCCAGGTTAGATATATTGTATTTTAGTTTTAAATTTAATTTATTTAAAAAAAATTAAAGGATAAACTTTGACATTCTGAAGAAAGTCTGGCTTTCTGAATGATCAGAATAATACAGATTTTCAAATACTGATTTACTTTTTCTAATAGAATTTGAAACAACCCCAGATTTTTTGTCTTCATTTCTTTTTTGTTTTACTGTGGTCATTACCACCTTATGTAATACAAAGTATAAAGTCTATTTGGGCTTGTAATATGTGTTGGCTGTTGTCCTGCCTTGAAGACCTGAGGCTCTCTCAACAAGTGCTGGTTTTCATCTCCCACTTCTATCCAGCAAATGTTATTAAAGGATTTTAGTGATACCAGGAGATAATTTCCAGCCTTCACCCTGCACACTTTCAGTTTTCTGACAGATGAATATGGATATACCAATGTTAGGACAGGTCTTGAGAAAAATTCAGGGTAATTCTTGGCCACTGGAATCCATATATCAGGCACTTAGATGACAGTTATGGATCTTGTGTTAAAATGCTCTAAGAAAGAGGCAGTTTTTATGGCAGTTTTCTTCATAGTCACAAGAAATGTAGTGTGTGAAGAAAGGCTACTTGCTTGGAAAAAAATTTAAGAGATTAGGTGACATGAATTAGCAGTCCAGATATATTTAATCAGATGCTGCTCTCTAGTACTTGCAGTATATAAAAACAAAAGCACATTTATGTAATTAAAATTAGTGGGAATTTGGAGAATTCAATTTCTAAGTTACTTGTTTGTAAAATAAATAATTCATTGGGTGATATTCCCAAAAGGACCATTCGTTTCTTAATAGGCATAGATGACATGTTCACTTGCACCGTTGCTTCAATGGCATTTTCCATAGTGAAAGTCCAGATATAACAGGGTCATTAAGTATGACTTATACGGTCATGAGTTCTTGATTATTGCTGTAAGTTCATGTATCAACAATATCTCCTTTTTCCGTAGTGCCAACTGTGGATGTATTTCAGATCTCTACTAAGGAAAGATTTGGGCTGGGACATCAACTGAAAAAGTAAGTCTAGAAAAGCTTAAACCCCTGTTTTTAAGGAGAATATCACACTCTTTTTAGTTCCTGGACCGTGCCAAGTAGGATAGAATTCACAGGTTGTCAGGTTGGTTGAATCAAAGTGGTTTGAACTTGTTTTTTTTTCTCTGAATAAAAAATAACAGGATTTGCCTTTTTAAGTTCAGTCTTGACAGTTGGGAAGAACCGGATTTGTGCTGCCTGCCAGGGTTTTCTGTCACTTTGTTGCCAGTTAGGAAATAAGCTACAAAAGTTCAAAAGACTGAAGCTAGGAGTGTTCCATTTCATGTCTCTGGTTAGATGGTGAAGCATTGCGGAGCAGGAATCTTTTTGAGCATCATGTATACCCTGAGGGGGCTATACTTTCATGGTGGTCTTTAGTATGTACCACATTAATTAGGCCATCCACTTTTTGAGGACAAGAGGGAAGAATAGTTGAACAAATTAGCAGTTTCATGTGTTCATGGTACAATTTACTCTAATAAAATTTTGCAGAGTCATCTTTTCACATATGGTTGTGTAAGTGTAATAGAACGACAAGAATATAGGCTTTACTATCTGACCATGACAACATTAAGAATCCCTTAAGAAAAAAAAAATCTTTTGCTGTCTGGTGTTTAAAGAAATTCAGTACACCGGTTTTATAATCTTAACAAATGAAGTAATGTTACTAAAATCCCTATGGTCCATGAATTTGAAGAAAAAAAATTAAAATCTCCCCAGACATGATCCGTCCCTGAAAACATTTCACTACTTAACACTGTCTCTGATTTGTGCACTGGGTAATTACTAAGGGTTCCCATAAGACATTTTCAAGGACAGAGCTGTATAATTTACGGTTGAGCAGAAGTCAGAATACCCATGAACCCCATGGCCTCTCATGGCTTTGGCAACAGGAGATTCATCCCTGAAGATTCACTAAATTTTCAATAAAGTCCATACCAACTTCCACTTGACTGTATCACTCAAGGACCCCCACTGCTAGATTAGTCACAGAGTGCCTTGGACGGAATTATTGAAGGTCACCTAGTGCAACATCCTGTTCCAAGGAACACTAAATTCAAAGTTAGATTTCACTCCCCTAACTCAGTTAGAATGTGAAGAGTGCCTGAGACTCAGAGCCTCAGGCATCTGAGCTGTGAAATCTCCAGCCTTTAATGGACAGCCTATTGTATTTAACCACTTTTCTGGTGGATGTTTTCCTTTTATAGCCTTTATGATTTTCAGCTTTTCTTGCTACAACTTGTGACCATTACCTTTTGCTGTCCATCTTTGGGAAGTGTCTGGCCCTGTCTTCTCTGTAAACCTTCTGTAGGTAGAGTAATATTCAACATCATGTTTGTGCTGTAGGAGAATATGCTCCTACTTAAGCAGCGTGGATGCCGTAGACTACCTCCATACACACTTGAGAGTGAGATGCCAATAGCTGGATGGGATGTCTTTGAACCATTTTGTCTAGAGACATCAGAATGTCTCTAGATCTCCATGAGAGGCATACCTGTATAAGTCTTGCAGAGGTTGTTTACCCAGACTGTATTCTTAATAAAAGTTCAGTGTAAATTAGTTTTATATGGGGGAGAAAAAAAAAAAAAGCATTTTTGAGGAGCTGAGTCTGCTACAGCTGCCTGTAGATTGAGGACATTGCATCATGTCGCCTACACAGTGAACAGAGAGACACTGGTATTAAAGTGAATATATCTTAGCTAGGATAAAAAAAATCTTTTCTTCTTTCTTAATTTGCAGAATCATGCAGACATTTGTTACACAACAGTGGAAGAACAGCAAAGAGAAATCTAATTGTACGCACAATAAGAAGGTGTCTGACAAAAAGGTGAAATCCCCTCTGCACATCTTTTCTACATTGCGCAGGTAATAGCAAGGAAAATGAGCTGTTAACACCATATCCTGTTTAAAATCCATAGCAGACTTCACAAGGTGAAATGTTGACTTTTCTCCACAGAGAAGTGCACTATTTATATCTTACCTCATGGGTTTCCAGTCCTTGCCTTGCATGACATCAAAAGTGAACTCGGTACTACTGCAACTTCTGAGACTGTTTGAAGGCAGAGCATTTCAGGCAGACCTCTGCTCTCTGAAACAGCCATGTTTAATCTAGAATTGGAAAGAATTAATTTTATATTATCTAACTTCTTGTATTTGTATCTTTATAGCTTGCTAGCATTTGACTGCTACTTGAATAGCAAGAATATAAATATAAGTAATACATACAATTAATATATAGCATATACTATATATATATTTTTTTAAACTGTGGTTATCTAGCTGTTCTTTTCACAGCTGTGTGTATTTTTAATTTTTAAGAACTAGAATGGTCATTAATAAAATACTAGAGCTGCTGAGCACCCACACCTTCCCACTGTTTGAGTACATTAATGTTCACCGCTTACGAAATGCAGGCACAGAATTTCAAAGAAAAAAGGCATTAAAAACCTAAGTAGTAGTTCGTGAATAGTTGGTTTGAATTCATTATGACTTCTGCCAGTTACTCACACTCTTAAGTGTATGTAAAATCAGGCTCTTATTTTACCTCTTTCCAGGATGTGACTGTTTACTCTAGCATGTTCTCCTCCTTATGAACGGTTCACAGATCACCCCTTCCATACATTTAAATTGAATTCTTCTCTGAACATTTCTTTTTGATGAATTTTCCCCTCCTACATTCCGTGTATAAAAAAGAGAGGGAGCAGAGCGACTGCTTACAGTGAAGAAGGGAGGAATGTCAAAGATGACGAAAGACTGTCTTTTCAAAGGTAGAAAAGTGGTGTATTTTAAGTAGAAATCCTGCTCGTTCCCTACCACACCACACACCATTGCCTAGCGCAGGCTGTAGCATGGGGTTTGATTTTATTCAGAAAAGGCATGCAAAAGCCAGCCCTGTCTTTCTCTTACTGCTTTGGCTGCCGCTGTGGTGCCTGTCCAAAGATGGCTCAGCCCAAACGCAGGGACCCTCTCCCTGCCTGGAGGACCATTCCTCCCTCCTGTCTGCAGGAGGGTGGTAGTGAGCCAGCCGCAGCAGTGAGTCAGCAACCTCCACCTGCATCTTCTACTGTCACCACTTGCAAACAGGGTGGGGAAACCTGCCAGCTTCTCCCCTTGGGGTTTCACTTCTTTTCTATTCGATCCAAGCCCAAAAGATACTCCAAAGATTGGGGTTGCTATAAAGCATAAAAAATTTATTCAGCCTACCTGTTACATGCTTTGAAAGGACAGGAAGATGTGATCCTTATAGAAATGTGACAGTTCATGTGAATGTTGTTTCATAAAATCCTTTTGTTCTCTACTTTCTGCAGTCATAATGATGATTACATAGGAAAGATAGATTTTGAAAAGGAAAATATGTTATAGTCTCATATGAAATATGTGGGTTTAATTTCAAAGATAATTTACTGAATAAATGGTTTGTTTTGAAACATAGAGACCTTGAAAAGGGCTGTAAGGATATAGCTCTAACTTCTGCTTAAGCAGGTAGTCATGTTTTTGATCACTGAGCTTGTGTGTAAATAGGAGTAAGACATCTATTTGGTATTGGAAAAATAGTCCTACGTACAATTGCTCATTTTTTAATGTTGAGCTGCATTTATCACTGCTGAAATACATAAAGACAGGTGACACTTAAAAATTTTTGCATATGTGTGGTCTTGCTTGATTTGCACAGGATTTTGATTATTCTCCAACTTGGTGTTCTCCTTCTTTATCTTTAAGGTCGCCAAGTTATCCTCCACCTGGCTGTGGTAAAAATAAATCAAAACTGAAGTCAGAACAGGATGGCATCTCTAAAACTCACAAGCTACTCAGAAGGACTTGCTCTAGCACAGTGAAGGTGGAGGATATGTGTGCCACAAAATCTCACAGAACCTTTGGCCGCTCGTTGTCGAGTGACCCTAGGGCTGAACAAACAATGGCTATTAAATCGCACAAACTGTTGAACCGTTCTTGCTCTGCAGCTGTCAAGCAGGAGGAGTGCATCACCTTAAAGCCCCATAAGCTGTTAAGTAGGTCATGTTCTGGGGACCCTCGATGTGAGCACAACAGCACCTTGAAGCCCCACAAACTTTTAAGCAGGTCCTACTCCAGTAATCTTAGAATGGAAGAATTGGATGGATTGAAGAATCACAAGTTACTCAGCAAGACTTACTCCAATGCCCCTAAGTCATCCAAAATGGAGCCTTTCAAGGAGTCCACCATAGCAGAGAGCAGGAGGCTCTCTCTTACCTCAGGGCTTATTGGTATCTTAACACCATCTTCATCATCACCTTCACAAGCTGCTGTATGTAATAATTTTTTTATTCTGCTTAGTTTCCTCCTATTATTTTCCAAATGTGCTGTTTTGCTTGTTAGGCAAAAGCATTAGTATCTAGGACATGTGTTAGTGAATACATTGGATATATTGAGTATATTGGAAGAGAATAGTAATGGAGTCAGCGTTTTAAGGAGGATTTAAACAACCGTGCATGCACATATATTTAAGTTATAAAACCAAAATCTACTTAGGTCATGACAGAGATTTTACGTGTCGCATGGAATACAGCTCAGTGTACCTGCTGGCCATGGGGAAAGTTCATTCCTCCACTTCCTTCCCTGCCTCCTTTCTTGCTGCAGGAAGAAGGGAGAGTGTGTGCTTCTGTGCTGCAAAATTGGCTTGGTCAGACAGGTCTTTTCTCATTTCAGTTTGCTTTGTGGGGGAAGCAGCCGTCCATTGGCTTGATCGGGTGCCAAGTCACCTCTCCTTCTGGTCTTTGCATCTGTGATCACTGTCACAGGGGAAGGAATGCAGTCATGATTCAGCTCACCTCTTGCACATTTGTGCCTTGTGAAAGGTTTAACCTTCAAACGTGCTGGTGGCAGCCGGAGGTCAGGGAAGGAATTGGGTCCATACTGCCCTCCTTTCTTTCCCCAGAGACATGATTGACTAGGAATACAAAGGGTAGCACATATTCTTAAATTTAAGGAAGAAGGCTTAAAATTAATTCTGCCTTTGCGTCTTAAAATATGGCTTTTATGCTTTAGAGGAAAAAGTGGGTCTGTTTGCTCTTTTTCACAGCACCTCTCTGTTTTCTGTGTTAAATCTGGGGAGACAGCCCTCCCCACTCCCTTAGCCTAGTGGTGCCTTGATGTTCTCAGTGAGAAAAAGCTGATTCTCGCTTGAAATGCATACATGTATTCAAAATAGTGCATTCTGAATAATGAAATTACATTCAGTATGCTATGTCTCATGGTAAATTAGTTTAATAAGCTGTGAGCTATACTCATCAGATCTAAAAGCAGTGATACACATAAATGATATAAAGTAATTTATATACATGCTGTGTGGTTGGTTCCTGTAATGTGCACAGCAATACTAATTTAATGTGAGTCAACAGACTTTTTACTTGTCACAGCTTAGAGATGCATTTTTTTCTCAATCAGCAGAGACTATTTTAACATAAAAAGACTTTTCTTTCCTGAAGCTAATAGGAAAAGTCCCATTGATTTTGATAAGATAATGAAGAGTTGACCAAGAGGTTTCATTACTGATGTTTTCAGCTGATATGGAAGAAATGCAAGCCCTGCTTGGCAATCTATAAAAACTACCAGTAATTTATTACTAGAATGCATTTGCTTTGAAGGAAAATCAACACATACAGGGTCAGGTGCAGTTTGACTGATGTTAGCTGAAAAACATCATTTTGCATGCAGGCACCAGATATATGGGTAGCCTGGGTGCCTAACTGCAATTTGAAGTTAGTGGAATATGGAAGTGATGAATTGGGACCCTAACTTCTCTTCAGTTCTCAGCTAAAGTATTTCGATCTCATATATGAATAAAATTAGGAGGATTATTTCCCAGGAGAAAAAAGGAAAAAGTTTCCAATTAAGCAGTTGGAGAAATGAAAAGAAACAAGCCCATAAACAAAACAAAACAAAAAAACCCCTGTAAGTGGAGGTTTTGACTCATTCAAAACAAGCTTTGATTGAGATGGATGTCAGCCTAGGGGGAATTTTGTACCTTACTGACTCCTGTAACGGAAATTCCTTCTAATTTATGTTTCTGTTGAGTTGAAAGAGCAAGGCAGAAATAATTTGAGTGGGCTCTGAGCACAGAGATCTGTCAGCATGGTGCTTTCAGAAGCGAGATACCAGTAAATATACAAAGAAAAGATTTTCAGCTGTTCTAAGAGCTACATTAGTCTTTTAAGCCTAAGCAGATATTTGGATAGACAATCAGCAGTTAAAATTTAATAGAAGTTACTAAATGCCAGTTAATTAGAATTGAGTGAAGGCACTGGTGTTTCCATTTGAGATTAGCTTTTGGGATGCTGAGATAGAAAACCTCATCAGATTTAAGGATTAAAAGAAATGCTAAAAATCTACCCCACACTCAGCAAACAGTGAAAGGATTGATTATTTGTAATGGTTGGTTTATGCTGATGAGAGATCTTTTTAGATGCAAATATTGTTTAATTAACATATTTGCATGCAAAAAAATACAAATGTTTTACCATTTCCGTATAATTAGTCTACCAACACTGAAGTTGCCTCAACTTTTTCCTTGCAGCAAAATTATGGTGCAAAATGCATTCCAGTTCGAGACCGTGGCTTTCTTGTGCAGGTAGGGTGGCATATCTTACCCATTTATGAAACACTGTGGAACTTGAGCTGACTGTTAATTATTTTTAAGCAGATGTTGTTATTCTCATTTTCATTGTTCTCAGACTATTGAATTTGCTGAGCAGCGAATACCAGTATTGAATGAATACTGTGTAGTCTGTGACGAACCTCATGTGTTCCAGAATGGCCCTATGCTGAGGGTAAGTGTTGTGCTTGCTGGAATAAACAATGCGTTTTATAATGCTTTAAATAGCAATGGCCATACAGACCTGTTATAAAACTATTGAATTATTTCGGATGCCTTCCACCCTAATATCCCTGTCAGATGCAAAAATGTAATGCATATTAACTAGATTTAGCTGTAAATTTGAAAAAAAATGTATTGCAAGCAAGGGAGATGGAAATCAGGCTTGTATAATATTACAGAAACATAAAGGGGGGATGTATTTCACTGAAATCTGTTGTTCTGCAGTAGTCACAAGCAGATAAGATAGAGGAAGTGCATTAGAGTGCTTTCGTGGTTCTCTGGCATTCTTTTAAAAGCTTAGGGTCACCTCCATCCTTGAGCTCTTATCACACCATGACCAGATACACTGGGTGTTAATGCCACAAGACTGAAGTTCTTCTGACCCTCTTGCTCATGGGCTACTGGAATGAGCCGTCCTTCATAATGTGATAAAAAAGGCAGTAGAAAGACATGCTCTGTGAAGTGTCTGGTCTAGCAGTGGGCTAGTCTAGGAGCTCTGTTGTGGTCCAATATCCCCAGAGTCTGGCCAGTTAGGCCTTCATTTCATTCCTGTGTAACTGGGAATGAGGAATTTTGCATGCTGAATGTTAACACCCTCTTGTGCTGTTGGTGAATGCATACAGTGAAAAAGCGTAAGATTGGTCTTGAGAGACATGCTCTTCCTGGAGCTACTGGATCAGTGCAGCTTTGTGAATGAGTATATTAGGAGAATATAATTCTTACCTTTAGGACTGATCTTACAGTTAGAATCCTTTTTGTTTCACCTGTTCTGAGTTCTATGGAAACCTGAGTAACCTTAAAAGATTAAAGCCATGGATAACTCTTCAGTACTAGTATGTGAATGGTCTGACACCTGCCAATTTCTCCATATTGTGGTGAGCAACTACACATAAGTTGAAGCAAACATCATCTGTGACAGTTCCATGGAACTAAATTCGGGAAGGTTATTGCTTACACAGTAGCAGAAGTCACCTCGGCGTCATCCCCCTTGACACTCAGCGGCACCACAGTCAGGTGTTCTAATTGCAGGCAGGGTATGCAAATAGGCCGTTAATAGGATTTGCAAAAGCATCTGCATAGTCAGTTAACACCATTTTAAGTCATGGTTAAACCTCCGTACTTTTGAAAATCCTATCAGGTGGTTTTTTGTCTCTTCAAGTTTCTATCTAACTTTTAAAAACATGGTTTTCTGCCATATTTATCAGCAATCAAACGCTGATTAGAAGCCTGTAGAAAAGGCACCAGTTTCCTGTTGCTCATCTTTGAATGCACTGCTATGCATATTACCTCTGACAGGATGAGATAAGACAAAGTGAGTAATGTTTGCATAATGAGTAAAGTTTGGATAATATATTTGAATTACTGGGTTTATCTATTGTCCATAGGACAAAGCAAACCGTAGGGTTTAGTCCTCTTAACATGATGAGCTATTAAAAGAAAACAGAATGGAAACTCATCTATTCTAAATTAAAAAAAAATCTTAATTCTTCTTGCTTTTCCACTTTAGAGATTAAATACCCTCAGAATTACTTTCCTCTGTCTTCAGCTTAAAGAGTGGTCATTTTAGCTATCCGCTTGGGAGCTTCTCAGTGCTTCAAAACAGAGGAAAGTGCAAACATGTTTGCCACTAAACATATATTCATCAGTGCCTTTGCAGGCAGCATAACCTAGCAAGCTCTGCAAAAATGAGAGGGTGTCCTTATATAACCCAGGGAGAAGGAGGTAGCGGGAAGAAATCTAGCCTGCTCTGCGTATGCTTGAATGACTCAATAAGCAATATAGAGCCATTAATGAGTTTGCAGTTCTGTAGAAGGTGAGAAAGGATCTCAGTTTGAATTGAGCAAGAGCTTGCCAAAAGGTCTTAAGGAAATTTATCCTTTACTGCGAGCTCTGGCAGAGGCAGCCTGAAGTAGTCAATTGTAGGGTTTATTTATATGCACCTGATGCACACACATATACACATACATACATATCTATATATAATGTATATAAAGAGGATAGAGAATGACCCAACTGCAAGAGCACATTATGTGTAATACTGCTGCAACAGCAATCTCAGAAATACAGAACTGCATTAAGCAAAATGCGGGGGGCTTTCATTTAAGGCAAAGCTATATGCAGTCTGACCTTGTATCACTTAATGGATCCCGTATGTAGTATCCCTGGCCTTCATAAAGGGATTTAGAGTGCTCATACTTCTAATACCGCAGTAACTTCACCAGGTTTCATAATGATCAGAACCTTGCTGCAGTCTGGAAGTATTTTTAGATTCTGTGTCTAGATCCCATTTTCTACAGCTGTCCATATCTCAAAGGCATTACTTAGATAGGCTCTATCTGTCATTGGTTGTATCACAAAAGATGCCACAGACTAACCACAGACTATGCCACAGACTGAACTGATTCACCATTCTCTTCCTTTAAATAATAGCTCCCACACCCAGGGTCATGTCTGCGTGTGAGTATCCTTACTGATGAGCCTCCCTTCTACCATTTGGGCCTTTTTTCCAATGAGGAAGAAGGCATCTGAATCTATAAAAGTATAGCAAAGTTACTGCTTGAGAAGTTATTTTAAAATGTAGTTAGGCTTGATTTTCTGATATTTAATGGGAGTTTTACACAATTGCAAAGAAACTGGTAAGGAATTTGATCCTGTAATTCTCCAGTATGTCAGCTTGACATCTTTAATGAACTATACTATAGCTTAATTGTCTTGAAATGCAGTTTAAAAAATTCAACAATTGCCATCACAGAGTAATTACATTCTTTTAATACTCTATCATATATGGGTGTGATTTTTTGTGCTGGTTATTAACCACTTGTATAATTCTGTCTCATCTTGAGGACAGCTGAAGGTACAAAGTGAATCTGAGAGAGAAAGTTTTTCCTTTCTGCAGATTTACTCTACAGTCTATGTTATAAAGTATTGTTAAATCAGTCTATCTCTTGGCACAAGCTTTCTTCTCACTATTGTGTTTCTTTTTCCTAGATAACTTTTTCTGGGGGTGTTCTGTTTTTAATATCTTATTTCAATTTCCTCTGCTTTCTTAAAATCTTGACATCTTCTTTCCCATAAGATAAGAGCAACTTGATGACAACAAGATGTGTCTTTTTGTATAGCTTAATTTAGACACTAGATCCACATGGCAGACATATCATTGTATGGAACATGTCTGTTGCAGAAATTGCCTATGTTTGGCTTTGTGCTCTGACAGTGGATACCTGTCTTGCTCCAGAGCCCACGGTACTAATCTAATAATGCAAATGTTCAGGAATCCTGTTGTACACGGGAATCTTTGGACTTTGGTAGGCTATCTTAGTCACTTATTGAGGATAAATAAAGAGGCTACCCTAGTGACTTACTGAAGATGAATAAGGACAAAATTCTTAGATTTCTCTTGGGAATTTCTTCATGGAGCAATGTATGCATGTTTCAGAAAACCGGTTTCCTTTTGAGCTCCAAAAGTTCCCTGAAATACAGAAGACCAGAATTACAGATACAGTTCCTGTGTGTACTCCACAAGTGGCTGTGTAGATAAAAACACATTATATAGATAGGTAATTTCAAAACACAAACCTAATGCTCTCACAAGGAACTGCAACTGTATGACTTGTGAAGAGGAATGGCAAAGTTCTCTGGAATGGAAGAAGGAGTCCTATAAAAGTACTATAACATGTCAGGAAGCTGTTGTACTCTTCTTTATAGAGGTCTGTGGTCCCTTGCTTCACTCCATCATTCCATCCCCTAAAAAAAACCCCCACAAAACAGTAAAGTACACAATGCTTCCCTGCACATATTCACACGTTTCCCATATGAGATGGGGATGAATGTAATTTCTCATCATAGCATGTTTCTTTAGTATTTATTTCAAGAGCACAGTGAGATCTAATGGTTATTTACAGTGCATCCAAAGTTATAAAAGACAAATTGGATGTGTAGAGATACGCACTTAGATAGAATGCCACTGAAAACTGCAAATTCCCTGAAATCACTGCATGGCATGATTTACAGTCTTTCTGCAAAGCACAGGAATAAATCAGTGAATACATAGATCCTAAGAAGAAGAAGTATTATTCAACCTCTTGCATAACATAGACCATTTCATGGGTTATTCCTAACAGTGATCTGAAGCCTACCCATTTCACTCTTCATAGAAGAATTAAGAAACAGCTTTGAAATCATCAGCAAGGGTTGGGACTGCAGCCTTTGCATCCAGACAGCTCCCTTATCTCATGTAAAGAATCATAATGCATCCTTCTGCAAGGCGGTCTGTGCTGCTCAGGAGCTCTGTCATCAGTCTCTTCTGAAGCAGCTTTTTGCTAAGCTTCGAAAAACAGTGGGAAGTACAAGGTCAGACATAGGTTTTGTGCTGAGGAGAGACAGATAAGGCAGACCTGGTAAACCTACTGAAAGCAGTAAGGGTCTGCTCATTTGAATTGTTAGCCTCCTGTTACTGTCTTTGAATTGTTCTCAACACAGAAGTTGTTTAGATGACTGAGACATGGACTATTATTTGTTTTTAGTTAATGGCTAGATTTTAAGTGTTTCAAAAACATGTTTTGAAATCCTCTTTTTTTCCTGACATTTTCAAACAGCGTATCATTCACATATGTGTTGCTATAATAGATAAATAGATTATCCTGATTTCTGTCAAAATACCACATTAGACTAAATATTAAGAGTAAACTTAGGAAATGGACTTTCACAAAGCCTATTCTGAAGTACTGAGATATTCTCTCACAGGACAGGTGTCTCAAGCGAAAAGCCCCTGAAACTGGAGATTGTTTCAACCACTGTCTTTCACTGGCTCTTGAAAAACTCCAAGGATGGAGACTCCACAACCTCTCTGGGCAACCTGTTCCAGTCCTTGATAAAGCTTTAGAGAAAGCTAATTTTAACTTTCTCTAAAACTTTAGATAAAGTTTAGATAAAGCCAGTCTTTTACGAGAGAAT